CTCTCTGTCTCAAAAACAAATAAACGTTAAAAAAAATTTTTTTTAAATAATAAAATAAAATTGTGGAATTTTGGAGACTCCGCTCCAGGTCCTTCAGCCTCCAGGATGCTATTCCCATGTTTCACCCCAGCATGCCTCGGTGCCAGCCTGTCCGTTCATGGGGCGTGATAGGACTCCTTTAATATGGAGATTCATGACTTTCAATCTGAGAAGTTGTCCAGGTTCATTGCTCTGATGTTCCTCTACTCCATTTCCTCTGTTTGTCTTTCTGGAACCCCCGATAAGGTGGATGTTGGACCTTTAGGGTTGACCTCGTGATTTCCTTATTTTTTCCTTTCCTGATTTCCATTTCTTCATCTTGTTTAGCTTCCTATATGGAAGATGGTCTTATCCAACCCGCCTGTTGCATTTTTCATTTTGATGATCATCTCCTGTTTCAAGACCTCTTTCTTGATCAGGGATTGTTCCTTTTCCATGGCACCTTATTTCACGGACCCAGTCTTGTCACAGCTCCGAAGTCCCCGGTTTCACTTTTAAGTCCACAGGCCGACTGGAAGCTTGGAGAGGGAGGGCATCTCACAGGGGGTGAGGGTGAGCCATCCTTTTTGGCGAGCGGCCCTGGTGTCAGCATCTGGAGCCTTCCACGGGCCACTTCGTGTCTCCACAGTAGGGTCCCTGGGCTGCTGTCGAGGGGGAACAAGAGCCCACTCCTCACCACCCAGAACCTGGAGACTCACTCCTCCAGCCCGTGGGGCTGTCCCCAGGCCGGGCCTTAGCTGGGGAGGACGGAGGGGATCTGGGCCCACTGCTTTGAAGAGACCCTGGCCTGTCTTCCCGTTCACACACATTCTCTTTGTCTCCCACTCACACATGTGCACACGCATACACACATTCTCACATCCACACGTGTGTGCACACACACCATGCAGTCTGCCCGTCGGCCCCTGCAGAGGGAGCTGGGTTGCCACAAGCTGGGTCTCTACGGATTGGAGGGGATGGAGGGTGGCACTGGCTCAACTTGTGCAGTCTCCCCGCCCCGAACCCGAGCTGGGGCGTGGCCTCCGCTCCACACCCTCCAGCGTTGGTTCCTTTCTCCTGCGTGCGCTTGTCCCCCCGCGGCTCTCCTAGCGTTGTGGGCTATTCCTCATCCCTCCCGCCTCGCTCTCCTTATGGCTGCTGTTTTATGGGGTTTGGGGAAGGGGAGACTTGAGCGGGGGTGGTTTGTCCACAGTGTAGCCTGAGACCCCGGGTCCACTCTGCCCTCCTACAAGAAGGAGGCACCATAGTCCACCGTGGGCCTGTGCCCCCTGGTGGAGGTACTAGACCCACGGCCCAGCCCTGGCTGACCCTGAGGCCTCTCTGCTCTGCCTTCCAGAACATGCCGAATGTCCGCGACCACGATGCCTCTGTCTACCTCCGCCTCCAAGGAGATGCCTTGTCTGTGGGTGGCTATGAGACCAACCCCATCTTCTGGGAGGAGGTAAGACACAGAGGGATCGGGGAGGGGGGTGGTTCAGGGCTGTGTCTCCGTGTGGAGAAGCCTTCCTCCAGGAAGCCCACCTTCCTGAAGCTCCTCGGGTGCACACCTGAGAAATGGCAGGTCCCTGGGCCCCAGAAGGGCCAACTCGGTTTTCTCTGAACGTGGCACACAGGTAGACCCAGACCTGGGGCAGGGAGAGGGCTGGCCTCAAACAGCAGTAGTTACAGGCTGTGGAGATGTCAAATCACAGCTTTGGAAGACAACAAAAACGTTAAAACCCTGTGTCCACAGCAAACAACCCTGAGCCCGGACCCACGGCAGTGGCGTCTGTCCGGGCCCCGCGGCTCTCCCGGCAGCTTCTGGGGCTGCATGGAAGTCGGGCGGCCCCCTCGGCCCCCTCGAGCACGCCTGGGCCGCCCCCGCTCCTGGGTTCATGCAGACATCGAATGATTAAGTGACAACCTTGGGTCAGATTCTGTTTTACTTCCTGGGGACAGAGGGAGAGCAGCACGAAAGCCCCTGTCCCGGGGTGCCTGTGTTTGGCCGGGGAGACCCACAGTAAACAGACAAGCAGCGGTGACCTGTGCTGAAGGAAGCCAGCGGGTTGGGAACAAGCCTCGTAAGAGTGGAGGCCTATGCTTCGTGCCGTGGTCAGGCAGGGCCCCCCGAGGAGGTGATGTCAGAGCAGAGCCCCCCTGGAGAGAGCACGGTCGGTGAGGAGCTGCCTCAGACCGGGGGTGAAGGCCCCGAGGTCTGGCCAAGCTTGTCCTTGAACTGAAGGAAGGTCAGCGTGGCCGTGGGCCAGTGGTGGACGGGGGCAGGGCCTGCCCTTGTAGGCCTCAGTGGGCCACAGAGTCACGGGGAGCCACAGGGCTGCTGGAGACCAAGAGAGGGCATGGTCTGACTTAGGAGAAGGTCAAAGGAGGGTAGGAAAGCAGGGTGACCAGGTGGAGGCCATTGCAAGAGTCCAGCGCAGAGCTGGGGGGCCTGGGCCAGCATGGGGGAAGGGAGGGGATGGGCCCCACTGATGGGTTGGTGCAGGAGACCTGAGGGGCCCAGCCCTGTCACCCCCCCAACCCAGGGGAGACTGGCCGGGCTCGGCTCCCACTGGGCGGCTCCCCCCACCCGCCTCCCCAGGTGTCAGACAAGTTTGCCTTTGGCCTCTTTGACCTGGACTGGGACGTGTTCACCCAGCACATCGAAGGTGCCATCAACCGCGTCCCAGTGCTGGAGAAGACGGGGGTCAAGTCCACAGTCTGTGGCCCGGGTGAGTGAGGAGGCTGGAAGCAAGGGCAGGCATGCTGGGTCCTTCTGCCCGAGACCGAGGCTGGCCTGTGTCGGGCACGGACCTGGGCCGTCCCTGCCGCGAGCAGGACAGACACGACACCCCTGTTGCCGTCCCAGCAGAAGCACTGGGACTCCCACTGGGTGTCTCCCCCACCCCCTCTTTCTTCCTGGCACACACAGGGTCCCTTTAATCCTCAGTCAAGGCAAAAACACGGGTAGGGCCGGCCTTGCCCCATATCAGGCCTGGGGAGATAGGTTCGGAAAGACACAGTGTTGTCCAAAGAGGAAACTTTGTGTCTGAGGCTCTGGGTGCCTCAGTGTCCTCGTCTGTGAAATGGGTGACAGCGTACCTACTCAGCAGGAGCGGAGCAAGGAGGAGAAGCCACATGTGAGGCGCGGGGCACGGCCCGGACCAGCAGACTGCCGTCAGTCCTGAGGGGAAGGGGTTAGCCGGAGGCCGGAGAGTAACGGGTCATCCACAGCCATGCAGGGGGTGAGGGGCCGGCCAGGACAGGAGAGGGGAAGGTTCTGATGCCCAGGGGCCTGTGGCCTGCCGGGGCGGGGGGCCAGCCCTCTCCACCCGGTGCCCCTGGAGCCGCTTGAATCTGTTGGGCTCGTGAGGCGGCCCAGCCGCGGTGGGCAGGATGGACGTGCCCCTGAGTGCTGGACTCGGGGTGCAGGGCGTGGGCGGGGGACCGAAGGCTCGCTGCCCTTCCCCCCACAGCTTCCCCGGGCTTGCATGGGGCTGGCAATGAGAAGCACAGGCCTGAAACGATTCCAGGGGCCCGAGTCACCCGGGAACATCCTCTGTTTAATTGGACTGGGGAGTCATTGCTCCCAGGGAGCCCTATCTGGGGGGGATGTGTGTGTGAAGACATCTTGTGTCTGGCTTCCGGCCTGTGGGGGAGGGTTCGCGGGGAACGGAGCGCTTCCCCTTGCCAGGGAGGACGAGAGCGGTCAGTGGTCTTTGGCTTCCAGAACAGAACTGGGAAGTCCCAGGCCCCCTTGACTCCGGGGCATCCGGGGGCGGGCAGAGCTCCCATTCCGGGTCCCAGGGGTCCCGGCCAAGGTGGGGGCCCCATCTGTGCTGCCCAAACATCCCATCATTCTGCATCCATCCCCAAGCTGCTCGGTCGTGAGTCATTGGCTGAACG